ACCGTAGGTCCTGTTTGTGGTGATAGTGTTAGAGGGGGTGGGGGTTAGTGGGTGTGTGTGAGGGGGTGTCTGGCCGTACATACCGTTGCCATTCAACGCCTTCTTGTGGTAAATCACGTGTGATTTGTTGCGACAATTGGTCCGACACTAGAGACTGATTACCCGATACTATGGGAGAGAGTGATAATTGTGGGATCAATTCAAGTGATGATTACAAGAACATAACTGGTGTTTCACTTACCGGTGATCAACGGTTTCTCGTCCGAAGACATGGCCGTTGAAGCGCTGGTGGTGTTTGTGTGGATCCGTTTGTTGTCCAAGAAGTTTGCGGTGATTTTTGTGTCCGGTTTTTGGTTTTAATTGTGATTTGATTTCTAAATTGTGTCAAACATTTGGTTTGAGTTTTGTTTACTAAACAAATGGTTTGTTTGACTGATAAATGAGTTAACAATTTGTGCATAAATTACGGCTATTTTTATGAACTTTTTTGGCGCAAGTTTTAATTGATTTTTATTTACGTTATTTAAATACTTTATTAATTTATAATTGAATTAGAAGTTAATAATTTTATGAATAGTTATATTTAATGTTTAGTAATAAGAGTTAAAGTGGAATATTCACAAATTAATTAAATAATGATTTTACTGTAATCGTTGAAAAATACAGTAAGTTTTGAATATAAAAGTAAAACGTTTGAACACAAGAAATGCAAAATTAATTGTAATTATAATTAAATCATATGTTTAGTGAATGTATTCATACATTACTATTCATTAAGACATGGGATGAGGGAAACGGGTATTCAATGCTCACATTAATAATGATATTCTTAAAGAGGTTTAAACTATAAGTTTCAACATTTGTTGAAACGAATGAAAAAACTTTTACGACAATTAGGGAGAAAATAATTAATACATGTTTCACTCATATCACTGAAAGTAATGCCACGGATTTGTCTCAATCCAGACAATGATATCAACGACTCGTCGCTCATATTCACTTATCTTACGTCCAAACACTCAAGTTTTGGTAAATTGTCGTAAATATTATCTATAAATGTGTCCGAAAAATATAAGCGCCAATCGTTTTGAGCCCATAATTGCAAATGAGTTAATCGTTTGAATGGCGCCAATGAATGGCCGGTTAGCGGCTCTTCCGGAACATAAATTATTGTCATTTTGAGTCTCATTAATGCCATAAAGTGTTCACTAATCGTATGAATCAATTGTGGCGTCAATTCATAGATATCAATATCAAGACTCTTCAGACGCCGACAATTGATACCAATTTGAGTCAATAATGACAGCACCTCTTCAGACAAAACCAAATGTAATCTGAATCTAAGTCTAACCAATGCTGGCATTTGTGACAAACAAATCAACACTTTATTGTCCGCTTCGGCTATAAAGTCTTCGTCGCCCCAAAAAATCGTAGTCACAGTAATTGTCTTCATTTGATGGCCGTATTTGTCCGCAAACACATCCAATGCTGTCATGTCTTCTTCAGTATTGATATCAATGTTAATACTATTAAGTCGTTTAAACGGCACTCGGCTTTCGGTCACCGATTGAAATGTTAGGTATGTTTTGGATCCAAAATAGACATCAAATGATTGCATATTTATACACATTTGCAGCCATTTCTCGATTGACTTCTTGTCCACACTTTCATTGAATTTACAAATTTTAATTGATTTCAATTGTGGACCAAATTTAGTGAAAAACTTGTCAATCGTTTCGACACTAATGTCAGAGAAGTCGATATCAATGTCATTCAAATTTACGCAATATTTGATCAGTAGATGAATAGCTATTTCTTTGAGGATATGATTTGGCGAATAAATGGATGAAATATTTGTACATTTTTTTAGAATTGATTTAAACATATGTCCCTTTGGTGTTATTCTTCGGCCATAAAAGTAAACAATTGTTAACACCGTTTGTCTCTTATATACAACTCTTCGCCACTGTTTTGAAATGCATTCAAAT